ATTGTGGCGTCATTTTAGAAATTGGTTGTCTACATCGCCATAGATTTAACTCGTGAAAATTTTCGTAGTATGATTTTCTACGACTTTAAGTGTAATTTAACAGCTCAGCGGAACTTCGCTCGGCTTCAAACTGCTTTTGACGATGAAGCACCATGCAAGACGACTATTTATAGCTGGTTTGCAAAATTCAAACGCGGTCGTGTGAATTTCAGTGACGAATTTCGTGATGGTCGCCCGTCCACTGCTGTGAACAACAAAAACATCGCTGTTATGCGCGGTATGATCAACACAGACAGGCATGTGACATACCATGAGGTTCGGGCATCTTTAGGCATAGGCATGAGTTACATACAATCAATACTACACAAACATTTGGGTGTGAAAAAGCTGTGCTCTCGGTGGATCCCACACAATTTGACTGAGGCTCAAAAAACGGATCGCGTCACTTGGTACAATGCCATGCTTACCAGATTCAACGAAAGGGCGTCAAATTTGTTGTGGGACATAGTAACAGATGACGAAATATGGATTTATAGTTACAATCCCAAAACAAAGCAGCAATCGAGCTTATGGGTCTTTCGAGATGAGCCGAAACCAATCAAAGCGACGCGCGTGCAAAGTGCCTCTAAGCGGATGATTGCTTCTTTTTTTAATAAAACTGGACACGTGGCTACTGTTGCTTTGGAGAATCGTTGTGTCGTGAATAGTGATTGGTACACGACTATTTGTTTGCCGGAAGTTATTGACAAACTCCGTAAAAATAACCGTAGGTAAATGCCCTATCGTCTTGCACCACGATAATCAGTTCTTCTCACACGGCCAGACAGACAAATGAATTTTTGAAGGTGAACAACGTTGACCTTATGAGCGATCCCGCGTACAGTCCCGACCTGGTACCTTGTGACTTTTATTTATTTCCAAAAATTGAGAACCAGTTACGCGGTCAACGCTTTTCATCACCTGAAGAGGCTAGCGAAGAGTATGAAAAATATGTTTCAGAGATTGTCACGGAGGAGTGGCATAAATGTTTTCAAAATTGGTTCATTCGTATGAAAAAGTGCATTAACGCTAACGGAGAATATTTTGAGAAACGATAAATTCATTTCTGACCATTTATAGTATTTTTTTCTTATTCATTCCGGAAACTTATAGTGCGCCCCACGAATTACACATAACTTCTAGATGACTTTCAGGCTGGATCCTGTGAAGAGCCCGAAACTGTTAGTTGTTAGTTTGTTTAAAAAACCAGATATTTGTCTGACGTGTCGTGTCGCGACGCGTCGGTACGGTATCGGTGCCAATCACACAGCACAAGGCGACACGTCACTATTGCGACACACTTATAAATCTAACCACGTTAAATGTACGAAGCCGATACTGTTATGACGCGTCACGTCAAACAAATGTAAATCCAGCTTTAGATACGAAAAAAGAAATTGTATTTATAAAATTGTTACATAGAGCCAACCATAAAACTAACCTAGGACAGACTCTGCTTGTCATTAGTTAATAAAAAAAATGATAATTTCCCATAATCGCAATCTTCGCCTAGACAACAAATTGACTTTTTAAATTCCTTCTCACCGTACTGGTTTTCTTTCTAACTCGTTTACTCTTCAGGCAATACGAGTCTGGAACGCTCTATCGCCCCATATTCAAAAAACGCCGAATAAGCTAGCTTTCAAGCAATTAGTCCGCGATTTCATATTGGAGTCTCAATCTACATCGCATTAGTCTGACATTGTTATATATAAATATGTATAATATATATATATATATTACATATATATATATATATATATATATATGTGTGTGTGTGTGTGTGTATTATATATTATGTTATATTTATATTGTGTTTAAACTATATATCATAATTATAAACTTGTTCCTATCTGTTTTAATTATTATGTTATGCACCCCTGTTAATTATTTCGAACCCAGCTCTCCGGTTGACTAGTAGAGAATGCCTAATGGCATTAAGTCAGCCATTTGTATTGTTTTGTGTGCAATTAATATTAAATAAGTAAACAATTTTTCTCTTTTGTTTCAGATCTGACGAATTACCCCAAGAGCTGTACCGTCGAACTTTAACAAATTGATGTAAATAAATGAAAAAAAAAAGAAATTTAAAATACATAAAACCGCCAGTTCGTCTGTGATCTCCGTGTCTACATAATACATAACCAATTATACATAACATTAACATAGTGTAATATAAAATAAAATTGCTTTTTTTGTACGTTGATGGGTTATATTGTTTAGTGATATTTATTTTATATTTATGAACTCGATCTCAATATGAGCTCCAGTTGCAAGCCGACGCCTCCGTTGAAGCAAATTGACTTGGATCAGGTAAGTTTTATTTTATTTTTATGTTAACCGACTTTAAAAAAAGGAAGAGGTTCTCAATTCGACTGTATGATTTTGTTTATGTATTTTACGCGATAACTCCGTATTTGTGAACCGATTTTGATGATTTTTTTTTGTTGGAAAGAGGGTACCTCCATAGTGGTCCCATTTAATTTTGAAGAAAATCATCCACCTCCAAGGGTTCACGCATGAAGATTCATTTTTATAAATAGCGCCTAAATTTTATTATATACGCAAATCTAATGAACTTATCGTATTCGGTGTCCAGTGGCGCATAGTATTAATGCATCTTTTTCCCACGGTGCGAAGTCACATACGTCGTATATATTTTTTATTAACAACTGCCTCCGTGGCCGAACGTTTACCATGCCGGACTGCCACGCAGAGGTCCCAGGTTCAATTCCCGGGCCGGGAGAAATAGTTGTATGGCCTACAATTATTTCTCTCGTGAGTTTGGGTGTAATTTGGGTTGTCTACGTGTGTGTCCATAGCACCCGCGACACAGGGTTTCCCTAGTGCGGGGCTGTGTTGAGTGTGTGCGTTATTTATTTTTGTTAACCTCGAATTCTCCACAAGTTTTAATAATTTGTCATAACTATCTACTGACATTCGGAATTAACTGAATTTTTTTTTCATCATTTCCGTTGGCATGTTCTATGAAAAGTGCAACAGAGCGTAGAATCGTAGATCCATCACAGACGTGTTCTCAGGGTGATTGCCGTGTGAATACTGCGGCCATCCGTCTTTTAAACGCATACATATATGTATATCGTGTAAACGCCCCGCTCTCTATCCGTTTATAATCGAATACGTTAAAAACGTGCAGGACAAGCCGTGTGAACCAAGGCTTAATATGCCATATTGACGGGCAACCTCCAGTAGTGGTATTTTAATGCGAGTACAGATTTTACGAGATGACAGCTAGGGGGCCGCGTCTCGCGTCCCGCAATCTGCGCGCTTAGAATTATTAATAAGAACAGGCGGAGAAAATTTTGACACAGGTCCGATGTTGACAAGCGCCCGATGGCTACTAACGGGGTTGCGGGCGGCTTAACGTGTCTTTCTTAAATGTGAATTTAACAACTATAGGGCCTCAGTTGAAATTCAAACCTTTGGCAGGTTCTCTGTAGTATTAAAGAGTAATATCTCTATATAAAAATGATGTGCAAAGCACGGACTTGTTGTTGCACGGATATTAAGTTAATAAAACGAGCCGAGTGAGAGGCTTCAAAGTAGTAATGCGTCTCTTTCTAATAGGGTGTTTATTCATGTGTAAGCCAGCCCATATTACTTGTAATTAATTTTTACAGAAAATGTAGCCGGTTATGGATGACCAAAACTACTAATATTATTTCATAATACAAATTAGTATACTTATTTGATATGCTACTTCATAATAGACGGTTTCATTGTTGATGTATTTTTTTTGTATTATTACAGTAAAAGCGTAATCTTTATGCTAATTTTATTTAACCAAAATTTAAAAAGTTAATAGACTAGACACTACCTAAGATGATTTTATTTAGCGTTGGCAACTTGTTAGCCAAGGACAGACCACTACTTCGAGCTATCTCACGTGGCTCGGTTTTTTACTTTTACTTAAAATAAAAGTTAACATGACCCAATAAGGTGTAAATTTGTAATATTATGAAATATATAAATCCATGGTGCAAAGTTAGATGTATTTTGTTCTTAAATAATTCGTTTTACACTTTTATTTTAGTCTGTTTTCGAGATTTTATTATGATCGAGTAAATTACATCCTGTCGCGTAACGAATTACCATACTCTTTAGACAATATCCTTAAGTGTATTGTATGTTTTTTATAAGACCGTTATTTAATAGTAAGTACCTAAACCGTACCCCTCATGGAAGAATGTCATAAGTGGAGTTACGTCAAAAATGTTTATTGCTCCATTAGATACAGAAAAATATATTTATAAAAAATATATCTACGATATTAGTCGATAGAGTTACAAGAATTGGAGAGTATGTGGGTTATATTTTTCTGTATCTAATAGAGCACTAAACGTTTTTGACTTAACTCCATTTATGCAATTCTTCCATGAGCATAAGCAGTTTGATCTAGCAAAACAGTTTTTCCCGCTTCTCTTCCAGTGACTCGTCGTAAGAAGAAAAGTTAATAAGTAGGAAGCAAAAAGCATAAGAAGTTTTTATATTTCATTATCTTGGGCAATTTTCAGATTTGTTTACTGTACCTAATTTCGGTGGCAATTTTTATTATTTAGGTATTCGAGTATTATTATCGTGAAAAATAAATTTCAGGAGACATCGAGTATATAACCAGAAATAGAGACGCCAAATAAGGGCCATATATTCCTGGCAACACATTAGCGATATAGCTACAGACACAGCTCTTATAAATATCAACTCTTGTTTGCACTGAAATATAGACACGCCAACTACTGACCTGTGTGTACGTCTCCGTATATTCCAGAAAATATTCTGTATTTATTGTAATAAAGATAATATCTCTAACAATACCGTGCTGTTCTATTCGGTGGTGTGGAAAAAACAGCAAAACATCTAATTACAAAACAGACGGAATCATATTTCATCGGTAATTAAATATTAAATATGTAATTTTGCAATTTTCGTCGATTTGAAATGAAACAGTTGACGACACCCATTGACGACACCCGTCAATTGTTTCGAACTCGGGCTAGCCAATCGGAGCGCAGTTGTCACAGTAATTACATATATGGCAGAATAGTTTTCAAACAAATGAAATGACATTTCGTCTTCATTTCTGGTTATATACTCGATGTCAGGAAACTACACTCGAATATTAAATAATACGTACTGATAATATTCTAGAATATTCAAATAATAAAAATTGCCACCGAAATTAGGTAGAGAAAACTAACCTGCCTTTTTACCTTACCTCTTTCCTATTTACCTCTTGCATTGCATGAAATATTACATGTAATGAACCTAAATATTAAAAACGACGTAGTGATAGGATAATAGTACAAGGAAATTACGTTTAGATACCATAGATAGTAGTAGAGGAAGCAGCTTTGGCTGATTTATGTGACACGACCTCGTGAAGCACTCTTCGAGTAGTATAAGCAAAAATCGGTTGACAAGTCAGCAGCGAATTTTGAAGAACTTTTTCTATTTTTTGACGACTCTCATTAACTTGGGTTTTCACGATTTGTCGTAAAGCAGTAACAATGCCCTTTTCTGACTGTATTACTGTCAGATCCGTGGCGAAACGCTCAATAGCATATTGCATTGATCGGCGCGAACATTTCACAGTTTTTAAAATCTATAACTGTGATTTCCCTTGCTCATACGCGAGGCTGGCTGCACACGTTGTTTTAAACTCTGTAGCCTCCTTCAAATCAATATTTTAGAACTGGCACGTATTTAAATGATCATTTTAAATTTGGAAAAGTAGTAGGCAAAAAAATCTAAACTGATCATCTGATGACTTACAATTTATATGGACGTCGGGTCCGCGCTAAAAAGTGTCCGAACTTATAGGGCGTTAAAATCGTATACAGAGCGTCATTCACGCTCTAGTCTTCGTTTATTCAACTGACAGCGAAGCAAGCAAAATTAGACAGTACTGCGATGACATTACAATTTAAAAGCTTTTTCATATTCCTTTACATGTCACTACGTTTAAATAGGTTGACTTGGGACATTTTTTTCGTGGTTTTTGTATTAGACCCGTCGTCCATTTATTTGTAAGTCAATGAAACTGATCCTTTTTTTCTGAGACATAAAATAAATTAAATGAATGTATATTTTAGTCTATTCTGAGCTTATGTTTCATAGTTTGATAGTTTCATGTTGACCCTCAAAACTAAGACAATTGAGCATTAAAAACCTGACACCACGTTCGGAAACTCAGGCAAATTAACTTCAGGCTCTCGTAGGCCGCTGCGGCGGCACGCTCGCTTCGCTGGCTCGTTTCGTGCTGCTTTTTCATATACTAACCTAACCTACTGAAGAAAAGAGGATCAAATATTATTTTTGACTATGAAATATTTCGCGTATATTTGTTTTTTCAAACAAACCGACGTTTCGGGCCCTTTACAGGTCCCAAAAATAGTTTCATTTCCTATGTGTAACAATCGTGAAAACCTAAGAACTCGATATGAAATATTTATTTAGTAGGTATTTTTAAACATAATCATAGTGTTACGTGTTTGCGTGCGAACCTAGAATGCAGTTCATTTATAATTTATCCGTAGATCAACTAATGTGGACGGAACAGTTAATGTATATATAAAACATTAAAAAATATCGTTTATTTAAAAAAATGCACATTTACAGTAAATCAATTCGGCATATTATATCTTTGAGGTTCAAATAATATTATCCCTCATGAAATTCCGAAAAATATTTTAATTTCCTGTTTGTGAGTCTTCTTCGACGTATAGGTTTCGTCGCGATATTTTCCTTTACGGGTAACGAGAAATATAAGCAGATACCGAAAATTCACAAATATAAGTTACTAAGAAATCAAAGTCATACGTGTGTCGTACTGTCACAAGGATCCGAACCGTCAACCTCGAAATTTGAAGCAACCGCTCGCCCACTGTGCGACCACGCCACATGATTTACATAAACAACGTGTTTGTGACGTCACGCACGGGTTTTATTGCGGTCGCCTAGATAACGCATCGCATTCTTAGGAAACATGGTTTTTCATTTACTATGTAGCAGACTAGTCAGACTCATACGTGTTAGGGTGCGTACAGATCTGACGAATGCGTGCGCGTGCTGCATACGTGCAGTTCAACACATGTAGTATGCATGTAGCATGTGACACGCGAGCGGCGCGCGAACTGCACGCGAACAGATCACACTACGTAATGCACGTAGTTACTTTAGCAAATAGTCGCATTTGCGGCGCATTCGCAGGATCAGTATGTATGACGTCATAAGTGTAGGTAGGCCACATCTGAAGATACATAATAATATCTATCAGGCACCTGTCAGGACAA